TTCTTGCGGCGATTCATTCTAAATCGAGTTTCAAAGATCATAGCTTCAAGTTCATTCGAATCTCCATCTCCAGATTTGGTTCTTAGTACCCTTCTGCTTCAAGTTCTTAGTACTCTGTTTTTTCTTCTTTTTTTTCGTCTGTTATATGTTTACCTGATTAGGGTTTCTTTTGATTTTATTCTCAACCATTGGTTTATACTTATATAAACTTTCTGGTGGTTTGTTGATCTCCATTGGTTTATATTTATATAAATTTGCGGTGGTTATTGGTCTCTTTTGAAATATTTATTTTATCTCTCTCTGTGGTTTGTTGATCTCCAGAAAGATAGAGATGGTACGTGGTGTGTTATATAGGTTGATTGTTTATTATTGTACCCTTACTTGGTGACAAGTTCTAGTTAAAAGAAAGTTGATGTTTTACTTTTTTTTTTTAAGTTGGTGTTCTAGTTTAAAATTAAAACGAAAGTTGGTGACATTGATATTTTCCATATGTGGTTCATTAATTAGCAGTTTCGTGTATGTTCCTGAGTAAAAACGAAACCATGTGTACCAAAGTCTGTCTGCATATATTGTCCACCCATCGAGAAAACATTTGATTAATGATTTTCTACAATTGGCTGNTTTTTTTTTTTAAGTTGGTGTTCTAGTTTAAAATTAAAACGAAAGTTGGTGACATTGATATTTTCCATATGTGGTTCATTAATTAGCAGTTTCGTGTATGTTCCTGAGTAAAAACGAAACCATGTGTACCAAAGTCTGTCTGCATATATTGTCCACCCATCGAGAAAACATTTGATTAATGATTTTCTACAATTGGCTGTGTATTCAGTCTTACCTGTTTGTCTCTTTCAACACTTGTTTGTTTAATTGTTAAGAACTAGTAGTGATTGATCTCTCTAAGTTTTTTGTTTGGATTTTTAATTTTTTGTATCTTTTTTATTCAATAGTAATTTAAATTTTGTGGTTGTTTACTGGTTTTGTAGGATGGATTCAGAAACCCTTGAGACAATAGCAGTTCTTAATGCTGCTAATGAGCAAATGGATATGGATGATGAGGATGAAACTCAAGGACCAGCACAAAGCGAAACTCATTCTATGCAAGCAACTGAAACAGTAAGTCATTCAAAACGAGCAAGGTCTCTTGTTTGGAATGATTTTGTCCCATTAGGAGTAGAGGCAGATGGAAAAAGAAGAAGTCGTTGCATTCATTGTAGTAAGAAGTTAGTATCAGAATCTGCATCAGGCACATCTTCTCTGAAAAGGCATTTGGGTATCTGTCCAAAAAATCCTCACGTGTCAGATAAGGAACAGGAGTATGATCCCAAAGTAGATCGTGATATGATTAGTGAGATAATTATATATCATGATCAGCCTTTCAGATATGTTGAGTATGAGAAGGTCAGGGCTAGGGACAAGTACTTGAATCCAAAATGTCAGCATATATGTAGGCAAACGGCAGCAGCTGACGTTTATAAAAAATTTGAAGGTGAAAGGGAGAAGCTGAAGAGAGTGTTAGCAGAATTCAAGGGCCGGGTTTCTTTTACATCAGATATGTGGACAGCTTCTACAACCATGATGGGATATATCTGTTTAACGGCACATTATGTTGATGATAGCTTCAGGTTAAACAACAAGATATTAGCCTTCAGTGAGTTAAAACATCCACATACCGGTGAAGATGTAGCTAACAAACTTCTTAGTTGTTTGAAGGAGTGGGGATTAGAGAACAAGGTCTTCTCTATGACCTTGGATAATGCTAATTATAATGATAGCATGCAGAAGATCCTGAAGCATCGAATTCAGATGGTTAGTGGAAATGGGTTGCTGTGTGAGGGGAAGTTCTTTCATGTTAGATGCTGTGCCCACATTTTAAATCTCATAGTGAAAGAAGGGTTAGAGCTAGCTGCTGGTATTCTTGAAAATATTCGAGAGAGTGTTAAATTTGTCAAAGCATCTGGATCAAGGATTGAAGCATTTGCTGCATGTGTTCAAAGTGCAAGGATTAAAAGTGGAGCAGGATTGTCTCTAGATGTACCAACAAGGTGGAATTCGACTTATGATATGCTCGCTAGAGCTCTGAAGTTCCGTGCTGCATTTGTTAGTTTTAAAGAGTGTGACAGGAGTTATAGATCACTGCCTTCAAATGATGAGTGGGAGCGAGGGGAAAAAATCTGCGATTTTTTGAAGCCTTTCAGCAAGATTACTGAATACTTCTCAGGCGTTAATTATCCCACGGCTAATGCATATTTTCTACAAGTATGGAAAATTGAATGCTTACTGATGAAGTATTCTGCTTGTGATGATCTAGTGATGAAAGAGATGGCTAAGAGAATGAGAGTTAAGTTTTCCAAGTATTGGGATGAATACAGTCTCATTCTAGCTATGGCAGCTGTTTTAGATCCAAGATTGAAGCTTCAAATACTTAGAACAGCTTATGACAAAGTGGATCCAAGAAATGCTGAGAAAAAAGTTGAAGTTGTCAAAAAGAATTTGAAAAAGCTTTATGAAGAGTATGGAACCAAGTTTCGAAGTTCTTCAACCTCTTCAGCAACACCAACTCCACATGAGCTTCTTACTGAGTCACCATTAGAAGATGATCTGAATTATGTAAGTCTTTTGTTGTGTATTAATTCATACATCATAATCTACTTATATATCTAATGTGATGCTTAATACAATAACATAGGATCTGTTTGAACTTGAGCGGAGCATCGAGCCTGGTTTAGACAATAAGAAGACGAATCTGGAGATGTATTTAGAAGATCCTAGGCTAGATTCTAGGTCTTTCACCGACACAGAAGTTCTAGGTTATTGGAAAGATCAAGGACAACGCTATGGTGATTTAGCTTCTCTTGCATGTGATGTGCTGAGCATTCCAATCACAACTGTGGCATCAGAATCAGCATTTAGCATTGGAGGAAGAGTGATAAGTCCTTTCAGAAACCGTCTTCTTTCAAAAAATGTTCAAGCTCTGATGTGTACTCGAAACTGGTTAAGAGGGTTTGCTGAATTTGAAGGTAAATTATTAGTTTTGAAATTGTGTTTTCTTTTTTTATATATAACTTTTTTATGTAACTACAGATTATATTTTATAATTTCAGGGGATGAAGATTATTTTGATGAAGACAAGGATCCTACAGCCACAACAAGTAGTTCTGGAATGAGTTAAACAAAGTCTTGGGTGATTTTGAATTTGCTTCTCTATGTTGATACTCTATGTTTCAGCTTTTGAATTTGTTTTTCAACATATCATGAGGCTCTTTTCTTTTGAACTTGTTTAATTATTTCATGGATTATATCTCATGTGACATCAAATCATTTGTATTTTGAAAGGCAACTCCTACGGATGTATTGTTGTTACTGCTTTTGTACTTTTAGCTTGAAAACCATCATGAGATTTTTATTTCTTGGAAGAGGTTACATGGGAAATGGTGGCAAAGAAAATGGCTGCTGAAAGACCCATATCAATATGGAAATTGAGAACCAAACAGAGGGAACATCAACAAAGTTCATAAATAAATAAATAAATGTGTACCCAACGTCCAAATATAGTATTGAAGTTTGTTGAATGTGTGCATATCTAGGTTTGAAGTCATGTGAACTAATATAACAACAATTTAAAGTCCAACATAAGTAAATCCATCGTAAATGATAAAACTATAAAGCTCAAAACGTGATTAAAAAATAAATATTCAATACATATAAATTTATTTAAAATTATAATTAAAGTTTATCTAAAACCCACAAAATTTAAACAAAAATAGAGATAGAGTTTTTCACGGGTACCCGTGGGCAACCCTAAAGGTTTCGGGTTTTTCGCGGGTTACCCTAATAATACTGGGTTTTTTTCGGGTTTTTAAGTTTAGGGTACTTTTTGGGCGGGTGTTTTTCGGGTTCGGGTCGGGCCGGGTAATTTTACCCATCACAACATCCCTACANACCCACAAAATTTAAACAAAAATAGAGATAGAGTTTTTCACGGGTACCCGTGGGCAACCCTAAAGGTTTCGGGTTTTTCGCGGGTTACCCTAATAATACTGGGTTTTTTTCGGGTTTTTAAGTTTAGGGTACTTTTTGGGCGGGTGTTTTTCGGGTTCGGGTCGGGCCGGGTAATTTTACCCATCACAACATCCCTACACACTATCCTCTACTTAACTCTAATCATATCTCTTCTCTACTCCGACGACTGCACCTTCAAAATCCTCCAGGTCCGTTACGTTATTCACTTTCCAAAATACGTGCAGTTTGGTTGATTTCATTTGGTTTTGATTGATGATCGCTGGATGTCTACAGGTGGCAGATACGCATTACGGGATGGGGAGTATTACTCGATGCCACTCGGTTCCTTGAGAGGATGATTGAAGCTGAGAGACCCGATCTTATCGCTAATCCATGCGTAATTGATTCTCGTATGCTCTGTGAAAGCGCGAGGAAGAAGTAGTGATGGTGATTTGCGCTATACTTGTTTACTTTTCTTAAAAATCTCCGATTATAGTTAGAATGAGGTATACAATTGTGGAAACTGTTGCCCAGAATTTGGGTTAAATTCTTTTGTAGACTTGTGTTAGTGAATCTGATAGCTTGTAAGAGCTCAGGAAACTTGAAAGAGAAAACACATGTGATCCACCATTAACTTGGCTGTAGGATTTAATGATGATGAAACTTGAATGAGCAAACACATGTGATCCACAATTAGTTTGACTGTTTGATTTAGTTATAATGAAACTTGAACGAGCAAACAAATTTGATCCACAATTCTTGTTATAATATATATTTGATCCATGTGATAGTTTTAAAGGAAGGCTTAGAGTCGGTTCGCTAAGTTTTGTTTGATTTTCTCCTGTTGTTGATGATGATTAGGAGATAAGCACTACTGATGCAGCGGAATCTCTTCTTCAAGCCATTGGTCCAGCCATTGTATATGGAATCCCATGGGCTGCCATTTTAGGAAATCATGACCATGAGTCCACTATGAACCGTGCATGACTTTCCTCTCGCTTATGGATTTTTCTGTCTCTCAAATCAATCCACCACTCGAAGATGACTCGGAAAGAGGCGGATTGAGATTAATTGATGGCTTTGGGAATTACCACCTCAGAGTATACGGTGCAGCTGGTTCAGTGCTGTCAAATATCACCGTTCTTGACCTCTTCTCTCTTGATAGTGGAGATAGAGAAACAGTCCAAGGTAGACAAACATATGGATGGATCAAGGATTCTCAACTTAGCTGGCGCTTCAAGATACTTCTAAACAGGTAAAGAGACTAACCATTTCTCATTACATCTGGTGATATGTTATTGTTCATATATTCAGATCTTTTATCATGATTACACATTGGTCAGGCAAGATTCATTAACTTCTAAACAGTGTCTTAAGCAGAACATGGAAAACGTTCCCAGTAACCCTGATCCAGCGCTAGCCTTCTTCCACATTCCAATCCCGGAAGTCCGTGATCTGTGGTACACACCCTTATTTAGCCAGTTTCAGGAGGGTGTAGCATACTCCATCGTGCAATCAGGAGTCTTAAATATCTTTTTGTCCATGGGAAATGTAAAAGCCGCGTTCATAGGACACGACCATGTTAATGATTTCTGCGGAAATCTAAAAGGGGTATGGTTTTGTTACGGTGGTGTATTTGGATACCATGCATATGCATGGAAGAAGAAATTGGCACAGAAGAGGGAGACTGATAGACACTAATCTCGGAAAAGGAAGAGACACATGGGCAGGAGTTCAACGTATCGAGACGTGGAAACGTTTAGACGATGGAGACTTGAGCAAGATAGACGAACAAGTCCTACTCCTATGGGAAGCTTCCTACTCGTTTCTGAAGTGACAAAGGGACAAGGCAGATAAGGTATATTAATTTCGTTCTATCATGATTGCCCATCTTTTTCATGTTTTGTGTAAGAAATTTCTAAGTCTGTTTTAGGCTTTGAGTCTATACCTAACGTCATGCATTGCACTTGTTACATATGTGTCTGTTGGTCGTTAAAACGTTTTTCAGATGGTCATGAAGTGAGATCCTATTCAGTGTTGACATCATCGTTTCTTAGGACCACTCGTGCTGAAAAATATGTGAACTGAAACACCGAATTTTGTTTTAAGATTCCTTTGATAATGTCTCTTTCGTTGTTGTTTCGGTGTGATCTCTTTGACTATTAAAATTATCTCGTTAATTATGAATAGAATTATTTGCTTTAAAAAAAATCACATGAATTAACTTGTTGGGTGTTACAAAAAAAAAAAGAAAAAAAAAATTAACTTGTTGGGTATTGTTACACAATTGATTTGTCAAATCGTTTCTTGTTATGCTTGTTTCACTATTTTTGTCCTTTTTTGCTACCTTGTCTAATCATAGTTTATGTTTCTCCTTTCCTTTTCCTTTTGGTGATGACTTCTTATATAAATATTTACTATTTTAATATTATAAATGTGGACATTTCTTTAGTGCTCACACTGTAGATATTGACAAACAGGTACAGAATAGTTAAGACTGATGAATAAAGACCTCGTGTTCAAATAATTATCAACGTAAATACTCTACATCATTTCAATATTTTGCTAGTCTTTATTTGTGGTTTTTATTTTAGTTAGAAAACACCATTATTTTTTTTTATTGACCAATTACTGTTTACTAATAATTGACATTGTTAAACTCTTATTTTGTTTCAGTAGGATACAACGCTGGTGTGTATATAACTGGAAACCTACGTTGTTGTCTCACGAGAGTTTGGTCTGTCTCATTCTAGTTTTATCACTGCTCTTCTCTATATAAAGCTCACAGGTCGAGCAGAGACAAGAGGCACTACTTAAACGATCAGACAGTTGATTAAAAAGAACTCTGTCGGAAAATGGATAGCATCGACCAAGAGTTCAACAATTACTGGGAAACAAACTCCTTCCTCCCAAACGAAGACTTCGAATATGACAGGTTCCTTCTTCTTTTTCATTTTTGTCTCTTTCTTTCTATATTCGTTTTTGAGATTCTGATATTCGTTTCTCTAAAAAGCTGGCCTTTGGAGGAAGCGATTTCTGGGTCGTATGATTCGAGTTCGCCTGATGGGGCGGCTTCGTCTCCGGCTTCTAAGAATATTGTGTCGGAGAGAAACAGAAGACAGAAACTTAACCAGAGACTCTTCGCTCTACGATCAGTTGTCCCCAATATCACTAAGGTTCGTTTTTCTTTATTTCACATCAAAACTCTTTGTCTTCTAGCTCTAAGATCCAAGATTATTATGGATTCTGTTTTTTTTTTGGTAGATGGATAAAGCATCAATAATCAAAGATGCTATTAGTTACATACAAGGTTTACAATATGAAGAAACCAAGCTCGAAGCCGAGATCAGAGAACTTGAATCTACGCCAAAGAGTAGCCTGAGTTTCAGTAAAGATTTTGATCGTGATTTGTTGGTTCCTGTTACATCCAAGAAGATGAAGCAGCTTGATTCTGGTCCTACCCGTTCTCTCATCGAAGTTCTCGAAGTAAGTCTTTTTGGTTCCTACTTGAACACCTTGAATCATATAAATTTAAGAAAGAATTTTCATTAAAATTTGTGGTCTTTTTTGGGTGAATGAAGTTGAAGGTAACATACATGGGAGAGAGGACAGTGGTGGTGAATGTAACATGTAATAAGAGGACAGACACAATGGTGAAACTGTGTGAAGTCTTTGAGTCATTGAATCTCAAAATCCTCACTTCCAATCTCAACTCTTTTTCTGGCATGATCTTCAACACTCTCTTTATTGAGGTCAGCATCTCTCTCTCTCTAATTTGTAATTAGTTAATTACTTGATACAAGAGGTGGACAGTAAACTTTTGAAGGAAAAAACGTAAAAGGAAGCTTTATCTATGCACTTTAGTTAACTTTTTCTTAAAGTCTCAATCATCTAATGCTAATTATTTACAAGTTGTAGCTTTTAATTTAATTTCCTAATTTGAGTAGACCGTGGGTCAGAATTTTTATACTAGATTTTGTAATCTCGTCTGATTTGTTTGAAGGATTTTCTGTGCTTCTCTGCTCGTGTCAAATTATTTTAACACTAAAGTGAGCCGTTGTGTTGTTACTTTCTTTGTTTTCTTAAGAAAAAATATATAAATACCTTTCTCAAAATGCAAGGTTTCTTGATTTGAATCATTTGATATTTGGTTTAGACGACATGGACCTTTCTGATTGATTTAAAGCAAGATCTTATTAGAGTAAACTAATCATTAAATTAATAGAAATATTCTGGGTTTGGTCTTCGTGACATTTTGGGGTTTGGTCGTAATTACACATTTTCGTTGGCAACTTGACTGTGTGGCCTATTTTGTATTTTTGGTCATCAAGTAATTGCATGACATTGAAAAAATATCTGTCTAATTTCTCTGTTAAAATCGTCAACTGTAATGATTATATAAATAATATTTTAAAAAACTTTTCCTTTTTGTTTGTCTATTTATGTATAAATTACTCTTTCCATTTCATATTAATTATCCTTTAGCTCCTAAAATTTGTTTTACTATAAAGGTTGTTTTATATCAAAAAAACAAAAATATTAATTGTTTTTCAGGTTTTTATTTATTTTAATTCATTAGTGAATAAAATCAGACAAAATATTTATTAAATAGTGGTTAAACAAGAAAAATATTTTTTTAGTTCAAACTTATAATGAAAGGGAGGGAGTATAGTTGTTATAGTTGGTCCTTTTTTAAAAATGTTATGGTTTATATCGTTGGTGAATAGTTCCAGTTTCATTTATTTCGTCTCAATCGGTTTGGTAAATACTTTCGTAAATGGGTTCCTTCCATATTGGGACGCGGGAGAGCCTCGACCAAACATTTATTGGTTTTGTTTTAGTATTGTTATAAAATTAGTTCTGGTCCCACAATTATTGGAATTGGTCCATTTGGCTATTAGAAAAGAAGAGAAATATTATCTCTGCGGTAAGCAGAATCTGATTGCTTTGTAATCAATATTGCTCAACCGCTCGAATTAAATAACATTGGGATATAAAATGATAAAATATTAGCTAATTCTGCCAGATACGTCGTCATACATTGTCTGGAACTAATAAAACGATTATAGCTGATTCTATCAAGTGCTTTAGAGAAATAAATACTACTAAGTATTAAGCCCAACACAACTGAAGCCCATACAGTGTTAGGCCGTTCACGCGTCAAGCCCAATCACGCTTTATCATCCTTAACGGTCACTAGCTCAACAGGACAAAACAGAGCAAGAGGACAACACAACCGTACGGAACACACTACTAGCGTTCTCCCTCTGCGTAACCAAATTGATGCTCTTGAGGATAATGACAAGTGAGCTGTCAAGACAGCTGTGACCTCACTAGATCCTTCCTTTCTTCTGTATAAATAAGATGCTGAGGCATACGTTGTAAACCAAGCTTTTGAGAAATAAATTCAGTATATTTCAGTAAAGTTTCTCTCTTTCATTCAAGAACTCTGTTCACCTTTATGGTATCAGAGCACAGACGATGGATGGGAATCCTATTACGTTAGCTGTATCAGCTCTTACAGTCACCCAAGCTGTAACCTTGAAGCTCAAGGAAGGAAACTACCTCATCTGGAAACTTCAGTTCGAGCAATTCCTCTCCAGCCAACAGCTTCTCGGTTACGTTACCGGTGCTCAACCTCGACCAGATCCAACTATCATTGTTCGTAATGGTCAAGAAGAAACACAAGCGGTGAATCCTGAGTTCAACAAATGGGTTCAGAAAGATCAGCTCATCCTTGCTTGGCTCTATGGGACTCTATCCGAAGATGCTCTCAAGTCTGTGTATGGCCTTCACAGTTCTCAGGACGTTTGGCTAGCACTTGCAAAGAAGTACAACCGCGTCTCTGCAACAAGGAGACTTGATCTACAACGTCGTATTCAAACAACGATGAAAGGTACGAAGACAATGGCTGTGTACCTGTCTGAAATCAAGTCCCTTTGTGACCAGTTGGATTCCATTGGTGCTCCTATCACAGAGCAAGAGAAGATCTATGGCATTCTTAATGGTCTCGGAAAAGAGTACGAGTCGGTGTGTACTGTGATAGAGCATTCCATGGATGCATATCCTGAACCTTGTTTTGACGATGTTGTTCACAAGCTCACTGGCTTTGACGACAAGTTACAGACTTATGAACAACAAACAGGAGCAACACCACATCAAGCTTACTACACCAACAGAGGAGGTTATTCAGGTCGTGGAAGAGGACAAAATCGCGGTGGTTATCGAGGACGTGGCTCATACTCAACCCAAGGAAGGGGATTTCCTCAACAGTTTGGTCAAACTCCCAACAGAGCACCTGGAGCGTCTGATACTCAACGTCCTACTTGCCAAATCTGTGGCAAATATGGACATCCTGCCTACAAGTGTTACAGACGTTTTGATGTCACGTTCTATGCTCATGACACTCCTCCTCAAGCCAACGTCCTCACCTCAAATAATCAACAGCCATCAGGAGCTGAGTGGTACCCTGATAGCGGCGCCTCTCATCATGTGACCAGCTCTCCCCATCATCTTGACTCTGCTCACAACTATGAAGGTACTGGTCAAGTGATGGTGGGTAATGGTGACTTCCTGCCAATCACTCATGTTGGTTCAGCGTCTCTGACTTCTGCCACAGGTACTATTCCTCTACTTGATGTGTTAGTTTGTCCAAATATCACAAAGTCTCTGCTTTCTGTTTCAAAGTTAACTGATGATTACCCATGTGAGTTCACATTTGATGCCACTACTGTATGTGTTAAGGACAAGAGAACCAACAGAGTACTCAGTCAGGACAGCAAAACTAAGGGGTTGTATCGGTTGGATGATTCTCAGTTCAGAGCCTTCTACTCTTCAAGACAACAAGTGGCAAGTGATAGAGTGTGGCATCTGAGACTTGGACATCCCAACGATCAAGCTCTCAAACATCTATCAACAATAAAGGCCATTTCCTTCAATAAGCTGTCTCAGCAACTGTGTGAAGCATGTCAAGTTGGCAAGACGTGCAAACTACCTTTCTTTAGCTCAGTTTCAAGATCAAGTAGAGTCCTTGAAAGAATACACTGTGATGTTTGGGGTCCTGCACCAGTTATATCTGTTCAAGGTTTTCGGTTTTATGTTGTGTTCATTGACAATTATTCAAGGTTTTGTTGGTTGTTTCCTCTTAAATCAAAGTCTGATGTGTTTCAAATCTTCAAAACCTTCCAACTTCAAGTCGAAAACCAGTTTAAACAGAAGATTGCTCTATTTCAATCTGATGGTGGTGGCGAATTTATAAACAAAGCTCTTCTTGATCACTTTGCTGCCACTGGAATCAAACATTTGGTATCATGTCCCCACACTCCTGAGCAGAATGGACTAGCTGAGCGTCGACACCGATACATCACAGAGTTGGGTTTGTCTATGTTATTCCAAGGACATTTACCTTCTACATTATGGGTTGAAGCCTTCTACACCGCCTCTTTTCTCAGTAACCTTCTTCCATCATCAGTTAATGACAAGATGCTGAGTCCATTTGAGTTATTGAATGGTCATCAGCCTATCTACACTGCGTTGAGAGTATTCGGATGTGCTTGCTACCCTTATCTCAGACCATATCAGCAGCACAAATTTGATCCGAAATCTCTACTTTGTGTGTTCGTTGGGTACAATGAACGGTACAAAGGTTACAGATGCTATCATCCTCCAACTGGACGTGTGTACATAAGTCGTCATGTTCTGTTTGATGAAGCTCGTTTTCCTTACACTGAGGTCTATAAACGATTTTTGCCTGCACCAACCACTCCACTTAACTCTGCTTGGCGTCTGCAATCTCCACCAGTCCCACAAATACCAGAAAACCACTCACCTGATAATGATGTTCCTTCTTTGGTCATTCCTCTACCCTATCAAAATGCAGCTGTTCCACCAGACAATGCAGCCACTCCACCCTCTCCCCTTTCACCAGCTCATACCCCTACAAGCGGTTCTGATACTGATACCACTGATCAGCATCTCGAACAAGAACCTGCAGCTCCTGCCCCACAGCCAGTGAACTCTCACAAGATGACAACAAGAGGCAAGGCTGGTGTCATGAAGCCTAACCCAAGATACGCATTGTTTACGATCAAAGGTCTCCCTCAACCACCCAAGAATATCTCTGAAGCTCTGCATCATCCCGGTTGGACTGCTTCAATGAGAGAGGAGATAACAACATGTCATGAGACACAGACGTGGAGTCTTGTACCCTTACCTACTGGAGAAAGACCTATTGGATGTGGATGGGTGCACAAAGTCAAACTTCACGCTGATGGCACTCTAGACAAGCTACGTTCAAGATTAGTAGCAAGAGGCAATGAACAACAAGAAGGTGTCGACTTCTTAGAAACATACAGTCCTGTTGTTAGGACAGCAACAGTTAGGATTATACTTCATCTTGCTGTTGTGAATCGGTGGGATATCAAGCAGTTAGATGTGAAGAACGCATTTCTTCATGGAGACTTGACTGAGACAGTCTACATGAGGCAACCCCCTGGTTTCGAAGACAAAGCTCACCCTGATTATGTGTGCTTACTTCACAAATCTATCTATGGGCTCAAACAAGCTCCAAGAGCGTGGTTTGATAAGTTCAGCTCTTATCTCCTTGAATTTGGTTTCACCTGCAACGTCAAAGACCCCTCGTTGTTTGTGTATCATAAAGGGAAGGATGTGATCTTCTTATTGCTTTATGTGGATGACATGGTGCTAACAGGAAACAACACAACGTTGTTACAACAGCTGCTCTCTGCTTTGAACAAGAACTTCAGAATGAAGGACATGGGTTCATTAAGTTACTTTCTTGGTGTGCAAGCTCATTTTACATCTACTGGTCTTTTCCTCAATCAGGAGAAGTATGCCACCGATCTTCTCCAGGCTGCAGGGATGTTAGACTGCGCGCCAATGCCCACACCTCTTCCCCTTCAGCTTGATCGCGTTCCGCACCAAGATGTTGCTTTTGCCAATCCTAAATACTTCAGGAGCTTAGCCGGCAAACTGCAGTACTTAACTTTGACTCGACCAGACATACAATTCTCTGTGAACTTGGTCTGTCAGAAGATGCATGATCCGACCGTGTCTGACTTCAATCTCCTGAAAAGAATTCTGCGGTATGTCAAAGGGACTATCACTATGGGATTGTCTCTTGCCTCTGATACAGACTCCAAGCTGAGAGCCTACTGTGACTCCGATTGGGCTGGTTGTCCTGAAACACGTCGCTCTACCGGAGGTTTTTGTACATTTCTTGGATCAAACCTGATCTCCTGGTCTGCCAAGAAACAGGATTCTGTCTCTAGATCCTCGACAGAAGCAGAGTATCGTACTCTTTCTGATACTGCAGCTGAGTTATCTTGGATCAGTGGGATGTTGACAAGCATTGGGGTTACTCTTCCTGATGCTGCTGAAGTGTACTGTGACAATCTTTCTGCCGTACACCTCACGGCAAATCCTGTGCTTCATCGCAAGTCCAAACATTTTGCTACCCATTACCATTTTGCTCGTGAGAAAGTTGCAGATGGTTCACTGATAGTCAAGCACATCCCGGCGATACAACAGATAGCAGACGTGTTCACGAAGTCTTTGTCTCAGCACAACTTTGATCGACTCAGGTTCAAACTCGGCGTTGAGTGTCCACCCACCTCGAGTTTACGGAGGGGTATTAAGCCCAACACAACTGAAGCCCATACAGTGTTAGGCCGTTCACGCGTCAAGCCCAATCACGCTTTATCATCCTTAACGGTCACTAGCTCAACAGGACAAAACAGAGCAAGAGGACAACACAACCGTACGGAACACACTACTAGCGTTCTCCCTCTGCGTAACTAATTTGATGCTCTTGAGGATAATGACAAGTGAGCTGTCAAGACAGCTGTGACCTCACTAGATCCTTCCTTTCTTCTGTATAAATAAGATGCTGAGGCATACGTTGTAAACCAAGCTTTTGAGAAATAAATTCAGTATATTTCAGTAAAGTTTCTCTCTTTCATTCAAGAACTCTGTTCACCTTTACTAAGTGTTAGTAAATGAATGGATCTTAGAGATAAGATTATGATCACAATTGCTAATATAGTAAGTATATACTTGGTTGCTTTATCTTTAATGTGGCATATTTCTCTTCTTTGGCTCATGTCTTCGTTTGAGTTTTCGATTTGTAATGCTCCGTTTTGATGATATAATTAAGTTATTATTCCTTAATTAGTAATGCCATTTCTTGTATAAATTTAAACAGGCGGATGAAGAAGAACAAGAGGTGGTGAGGTTAAAAATAGAAACAGGAATAGGAGCTTATAATGAAACTCAAAGCCCCACTTTGAGCATCGACTCTCTTTACTAATCAATTTTTTTAATTTGTTTTAATTTGTTTTGCCTTCTCTCTATCTTTACAAATAAATAATATGTTTATCTCTTTCCACTTTCGTTTTGTTGGTTCATCAGAAGACTTCTTGTGCGTATGTAGTAGTGTCTATAACAATAATCGTACGCATCTGTTTTCTCTCTTAATTTAGGACGTGGGGAATGGTATGTTTGGCCTTTATATAAAGCGGAAGAGAAAAGGAGATTTGCTTCCTATTTTTCCAATAAGATAGATAACGCATTTTTAATAGCAAGTTAGATGAAGCATAGACTAATGATTAACACTAATACCATTCCTGTTTGTTAAAGCCAAGATAACAAACTATTTAACAGAAATATGGTAATCATTTAGATGCTAAGTAGTGATGGAAATAAGTTGCAACAAAAGTTCTGATGAAGTAGCAAATAATACAAAGTTTCTAGTAAACCATGGTAGATTCAAAAAGGCAGAAGCAGTAAGAAACCACACACGACTCTATGTGACTGAAACGAAAACTGTTTTGTGATAAACGCTGAGAGTAATTATGGTCAAAACAATAAAGAATTTAGAGTTACATAGCATACTATATATACACAACCCACACAAAAGAAAACAAGAGCTTTCTACTTGGTTTGAAACTGCAGTGGTTTCACCAGTCTTTGAGCAGTTCTCCGGCAACATCGCGGTAGCTTACTTTCTTTTTCTTCACAGGAGGAGGAATCTCATCTGCCTCTGCGTTCACACAAGCATTATCAGTCTCGGCGCCAAGTTTTCTTTTCTCTGAAGGCTCACTCTCACCTGAAACTTTAGCCTTACTAGCTTCACCCGTGATTCTGCTTGATGATGTCTCTGTGTTTCTAAAACTGAGGCTCGGGATCATGTTCATCAACATAGCTTGTACTGGATCCTCATGGACTTGTAGCTTCTCTTCCCTATCCATCTCTGTCTTTGCATTTCTAGAACTTTGTGACGAGGCCTCTTCAACTGCTACTGTGTTATCTCTTTGCAGTGTCTCTCTGTGCTTTGCTTTGTCCGGCTCTCCGGTTTCTTCCTTGTTTTCTTCCTCCGCATAATCATTTTTCTTGTCATCAAAATCATCATTTTCTTCAGACTCATCTCCTCCTATCTTCAAAGGCTTCTTGCCTCTTCTTGATCTCTGTACTCTTTGCGGTAGTGCAACACGAGACTTACCTCTATTTGCAGATCTTCCTCTCCTAGAGTTTCGTTGAGCGTCACCTAAGGAATCAGTCTCTTCTGCTATTACATCACTGAGTCTTGTTGAAGCCTGTTCTTCCGAAGCCGCATCACTCTCCTCTGTTTCACTTCCACCTATCTTAGAAGGCTGCTTGCCTCTCCGTCTCTGTACTCGTTTCACTGTGTTTGTAGAAGAAGACCTTCCCCTTTTGTTACCAGCTCGAGTACTTGACCGTCCTCTTGAACTCGTAACTGCCATTTTCGAGAAAGCTGGCTCTTCGGTTTGAGCTACTTCCGTTGCATCATGTTCAGATTTACTGATGCAAACAGAGATCAAATTATTGGAAACTGTATTTCATTTGTAGAAAAGAACACATCAAAAACGTGTTGACTCACTCTGATTCTTCAGTATCAGACTCGTCCATATGCTTAGGCCTTAAAGTGTACACCTCCTCGCTTAGCTTTTGCTCCCTTTGCAAGCTTTCCTCTAACCAGTTCAAGCTAACAACATGTAGCCTTCTCTTCAGCAAAAGACGTTTCTCCTTTTCGCTGAAACTATTGAAAGAGAGACCACAGAACAAAGTCTTAATCATCATTTATAATCTGGTGCTAAACTCAATAGCAGAAACACAGAAAATTTGGAATACCTTTTTGAAACAGAAGCAAAATCCAAAGAGTCTTCGGCTAAAGTAAGGACTACAAGGTGCGACGCATTAGTAAGATTATTGCTAACTTTACCACCAGCCATTAAGACTTCAAGCGCTAATCTCTTAGCCATGATTCCCAACAGGGCTTCCTCTTCAGTGCTCCTTCAAGTAAAAAATGACAAATTGATGATGATGATGACGACTATTGCTTTAGGTTAACTGACATGTTAAAAGCAAGGTATGAATAACAACAAGAGAGGCCTTACAATGTTTCACTATAGGGATGAAAGTAAATGCAGCAACCGATGAAGCAAGACCATCTTTTCTCCGGACATAACTTTTTCTTGTAGTACTCAATGGATTTTGAGTCTTCCCATTGCTTGGCATTGCTTAAGACCTGTAATCGAAGATAATGGGATTGCAACTCGATTATAATTATTTCAATAAATGGTTTTAATAAGTAACACGATGATTCCAGTTATGGCTAACTGAACATACATACCTGTTTGAGACCTTCAAGGTCTAAGTCAAAGAAATAAGAATCCGAAAATTCATCAATTTCATCCTGTAATTTTGTCCTTGAAGCATCTGTGAGGTGGAGAAAGTACCTTCAAAAGTACATCAAGCGCTTTTTCGTAAGACAGAGATATTAAAGCAGATATGATTAAAAAAATGTTGGTAGGACTCCTCACTTTGGCTGCAAAGGAAGCAGATTATTTCGTGCACAACAATCTAAGACCCATGAAAAGTGGATGACATCTCTTTGACGTTTTGCCGCCTGATACTTTATTCCTGAAATAGTATCTCATTGTCATGCTCTTTCATTGAAATAGTTTCAGCATGTAAATCATCTGTACAAAAGGGTTGAGAGTATGAAAGTGACATACCACTGCTTTCTGATGCAATGCAATGAGTCACTGAATTGTTTAGGTTCATTGAGAACTTCCCTCCATTCTCAGCCACCATTTTGTGGAATGTATCAAGAGAATGGGACCGAGGCAGGTTAACAAAATCTGTTATAGATTTGTCAAGGAAATAAAGAAAAGCAAATAGTATGACAACGTTGTCAAGGTTTGCAAGTTCAGGACTTATCCATATAAAATATGTGTCTTAACTATACCAGAGGAAGACAGCTGAGAAAATGCAATCAGTAGGTAAAACATGTCAAAGGATACAAAATATCATATTGGAGAAGATTGAGGTCTTGCCCTTGATATCCGATACATCAGTTTGAATGAACTGAGATGGGACAAGAGACACATTCTTTTTCTCTCCTCTCTTGGTGACTTTCGGATTGTCCTGAGTGCTTTCGGATTCCTTCTGTTTTTGTGTGGTGCCGTTACTTGAGTTCACCAATTCCACAAAAGCTGCAAACTCAACATCAGTTACTCAAATTTTAAGGGAAATGGGAATTCTAAACAGTTTATTTGGTTCTTTGACTCACCTTGCACATCGAGACACTCATGCCAAGGTTTATCGTATCTTACTTTATCAATACGAGGAAACCTCAGGCTGTAAGGTGCGACAAATACCTGAAAAGAAGCAGAGTTTAACATGGAATAGAACATACACATCATAATCGACAAATTCACATCATCACATCTTAAGGACATACCTCAGACCTTATTGTCCTGATGTCACTAGTGATGGAGAGTATTATTGATCTGCAACAAACAAGAAAATATCAACAACTGGCTAGATATGGATTCTTCTGCTTTAGTAGAGAGGAAGATTGGCTAAATGACAGAAAACTAACTTTTCCGGGCTTTCGATCCAAACATCAGGTCTCTCTTTTGAGTGATTTGTGACCTGATAAAAGCTTGGTGGAGCCTTCTTTGGGTGCTCATTTTTTCTGAAACACAAATAAAACAGGTGATAACTATTATAGAAAGCGGCACTTCTCTCAATTGTCAAAGTACTAATACCAAAGAAGCCTTCTAGTTTTGATGTAGCTGTTTCTTATGAGCCATATACTATCGATTCAGTCTCTCACCTGAAATAAGGCTTCAGTTTGCTTACAACAGTGTTAAGCTCTTCATCAGATAATCCTGTGCCAACTCTACAAAACGACATAAATCTGCAAAAAAAGGAGAGAATATCTTTTATTGATAGTTAGACCTGAAATTTCTTGGCAAGCGACTAACAATGCTGATGACAAGAAAGGTCTAAAGTTTAATTAGTTTCTAATTCTATTGATTAATCTGATTTCATGTTCTGTGAGAAAAGATGAAACCATATAAATTCTTACCGCCTGGGATACACATTTGCCTCTGCCCGGTCAGCCAATGCAACGAGAAACTGTGCAACCTCCCCTCCATGACGGCCAGAGCCATAGTATCCTCCTGTTAGAGATGTAACAAATCTATCCTAAGATCCAATAAGAAAAGAAACAAGGAAAAGTGTAACAAACATATAGAGTGCACACCTATTATAAGAACATCTAGATCAGAACCAGCCCGGACATATTCAGGCTTCAACTTCAACCACTTGCTACTACGATCTCCAGGTTCCCATTTCGATCCAAGGTCTTTAAGGACTACTCCTTCATCCCTGAGAACAAGTACGAAACTTGATTTGAAAACTAGAACCCAAATCTGTGAAGAAACCCGTAGTAAAAGTCTTTATACCAAGAGGGTAGATTCTGTCACATTAGGCCAAGAAGGCACCATCCAAAAGTTTTGCAGGATTCATGAATATTAGAGAGAGAAAACGAACCTATTTTCAACTGTTTCTTTGAAAAATCGCTCAACATCAGCTGCAGAATTAACCACAATAGACCAACTTGGTTCCCCTGCAGACAAGCATTTCACGTATCCATTTGTAAATGCGTAATGGAGGTGCCAGTCGAAATTACATACTTGTATGATTACAGAAACTAAAAAAAAAGGCAAGAGTCTAAAAACATTAGCATATAAATAAAAATGATCTTCAACTTCTCTTTATTTTAACAATGTTACACTTGCGAACCTTCCTGACTCAACTAGAGATGTAAACTCCATCATAAAGATAGAATCTTAGTAGTCCTTACCTGAAGGGCGATGAACATTGAGACCACCTTCGGGCAGTAAAACTTCAAGCCGGCCTTTTAAAGGCTTAACCACTTTCCTCAGGAGTTCGTGCCGTTCTTTTAAACTCTGGTGGATAACACTAGTATCGCCAACATAAAGAACATCAAAGGCAACATCTAGTACATGGTCAAGGAAGAGAATATCTCTAAAATGGTTCTGTCATGAGATTAGGTACTGTGGGCATTATTAACCTCTCTTGTAAGGATACAACATAACTGCATTAATCATAGAAGAACATTAGGGTTTATAAGGATCCTCAAAAAGTTGCAAACATAAAAGCAGACAAGTGAAACTCATATATGTACCTGCTTATGGCTGTCGAGACCCTCCCTTGCTGCTTTGGCTGTATAAGAAGAAGACATGAAGGATCAAATCTATAGCAAGCAAGGCTAAATTATTCAAAATAAGGATATTGAGTAGATGGCAAACCTATTTCCTGATTAGAACCAAATTCAGCAAACCGATTAAGAGATGTATCCCAGACCAACATTTCACCATCAAGGATACACCTGGGTGTCAATATAAGTAAATAAATGATAGTATATGTAAAACATTGCAAACTTGTCACACCTTTCCAGAACCTAAATAAAGAGCAACTGGATTCTTACTTGTCAGCCATTATATTTTGAACAATAAGATCCGACATGGCATGTGCATATTCAGAATGGTCAAGGAAGTTCCTGCAGCATAACTAACAATAATAAAATGCATATTCTCCATCTGCCAACACAAAGAGACTGATAGAAAAGTTGAATCAACTACAACATTTGACGAGGAGACTGCTTTCAAGAAGCCAATTCAAATGATAGGCAATAACCTTGCCATATGCAAACACGAATTTTTCTCCACGAAAAAAATGACTCACCTAGAGAAGTAATGTATCTCAGTCCCATTTTTGTGTATCTGTATGCGATCCCCATCAAATTTGCACTCAGCAACGACATCTTTCCCGTGAAGCTATGTAGAGGAGAAAGATACTCATGCATTAGTTAAAATGCAAAGACCCATACAGTGACATTACCAAAAAGAAGAAAATATAGCACAGATGTCATGGAGTTTACCTTCTTCCAAGCAGCATTTACATCACTAATACGCATAGCTAATTGAGGTCGAACAGCTTTTCCAACTTCTATATCCTATAAAGTAGCAAATAAGGAAGGAAAAACACACAAAAAGAGCAGTCAGATACAACCAATGGAAATAAACAGTACCCAAGGGATCACAACAATCATAAACTTATAGGCGGTAGTAAGAAAATGAATATTCACACCCAATGACTATGTCTATTAGTTTGCAAAGTAACATCTATAGAGAAACTGTATCTCATTTCTCGCAACAAAAAACCTGGCGCTTGTGACGTTGGTGCCGATCTCTCAGCTTTTCACAGACTAACTTCAAATCACAAGTGACATTAAACAAATCCTCGGCATCTGGATGAAACTCCTGAAAAATACTCTTCTCGCTCATTCCCAGTTTCAAATCTGTAACCACACTTGATCTCAGCACAAGACATAAAGCAAAGTATGCAAACAAAATAAAAAGGTGTGAAGAATCAGAAAATGCCCCAACCTTTAAGAATGATCCTAATAACCCACTTCATCTCCTGTGCATTCGTCTTCTGAATCAGAGTAGAAAGAACAGAAGTCTTCTCCCCTCTGGCATTACAAAGAAACAAAAAAATCAAATAAGTAAAACCAATCTTCAGACCGAAACAATAGTAGTAGAGACCAAAACAAAAAAAAACCTGTTCTCACTCGAAGCTAAACGATCAAGCAAATCATTCAACTCCTTAATACTCAACCCACCAGACGCCATCCCTTGCCTCCGTTGCAATACCTATTCAAAGACTCAACCTTTAAACCCTAAAACCCTAAAGCCAAAACCTTTAAAAATCTCAAACGAAAAACCCTAAACCTCAGCAGCAATCAGAGAGAAGTTTCCAGCGTTGACTCCAGCCTTAGCGGTCCCTCCTTTACGCCAATTGAGAAGACGAACCGCGTCAGGAGCATCGCGAGAGATCCCCAGCGCGTCGATGAGACACGTGGCCAGCACGGACTCCTTGAGACCGTAGCTGCCTCGCTCTCGGTCGAGGGAAGGGATGATGAGACGGACGGCGACGAAGTAATCGGAGGGTTTGCAGTATGTGTCGAGGAACTTGCGGAACTTGGAGCGTTTCTGAGAAGAGGTTTTGCTTTTTTGGATCCAGTTGAAGAGAGACACTAGCACGCTGAATTTGATCTCCTCCGTCATCTTATTCTGACGGAGTTTGTGATTAATTTGGTGGGTTTTGGTTACTGTCGGAGAGAGAGAATAGCTTGTCGGAGAAGAAAGTCGTGTTTGAAAAGTCGAGGTGGCCGGAAAAAACCAACTTTACAGTTTAATCGATCGGCAGCGATTGTTTTCTCTCTCTCTCTCAGGGATGTAATTTACTTTTATTTGGAATTGTGGCACATTTTCCCCTGAAACTTAATTTACTGATCAATTTAGTCCAATTTGTAAATCATAAGATTTCAAGCCTTTGATAATGAATGTGTATATTTCAGAATGCATATGATTATTTCAGACTGTTGGATTCAATTTGGAATATAAATTCGACCAAAAATATGAATATAAACATAGCAATTTATATTCTAAAATGTTTTTTTATTAATTATAATTATTCTTTTTAGTAATCTATGAGAAACAATCTATGTAGATAAAAAGGAGAATGTTTCTAAAAACATTCAAATGTTGTAATCTAAAATTTTGTTTTATTTGTTGAATACACATTTAACTAAACATTATTTATCTTGTGAGATTGAATATTCATTTAAAATTTTGTAATTAGATGATAAAATATGTCAATAAATCAATTTGTACTTTTTTATCAGACAAAATTTATTTTATTTCTGTTATTATTATTTCTAACATTTTCCAACATCTATGGATTTATAATTTATAAATAAATAAATTTTTAAAACATAATAAAAATGAGCATTTTCATTTACAATTTTTATATATTAAATATTTTACTGCAAAAATACAATAGAATGAAGGATGTATGTATATGTTTCTATTTTGGAGGATTTAAATATGACTTAAAAGTTAATTTTAAACTAGAGTTTGACCTATGTGAATGCACGGGTGTTTGTTTTTAGTTTTCTATAAATAAGCATTTTTTATAAATAGTTGTATAGATTTTTAAAATTTCCAGTAAAAACTAACTGTTTAATACAATACTCTAATGATAATATTTTTTAAATTTTTTACCGTATTAGCTAACTGTTTAACCGTTAGTTATATCATTCAGATTGATTTTTATAATACAACCTTTGTGTCTGTATACAAGTGTGTGTTTATTTTCTATAGAGAAAAAAATAATGTATGATAAAATTATTATATATTTATCTTTTAAACCCTGTGAATATTTTTTTAACTTCTAAATTGTTCAAAATATTCCATACATAATTATTGAGATATATTTTAAACTCTTACTAATGTTTCTGATGTTTAGTATGATTTAATGGTATAAATCAGTATGCGAAATAATATTTTTTTAAGGAAGCTAAGTGTTTTGTCCGCACTTGCGGCTATAATTTTTTATGAATATTTATTAATTTAAAATTAGTATAATAAATTATTATTTATGTTTCAAAAATTATAGTTCAAACATCAAATAATTAAAATGACAACACTAAAACATAATAATCAGAACAGTTACAATAAAAGGACTAAAGGAAGTGCTTGAGGAGGACATGTAGACAATTAAACCATTGTATGCGGTTGAGGACAGGTAGATTTAGATGCATGCTCTGCTGATGGGATTGGTCATCACGACCATCCCCTCGCCACCGAAGAAGCAAGACTGGTCTGTGCGACCATAAATCTGGCAGTAGAGGTTCATGACGATGTCGGCTCGGCCAGGAAGATCGGAGTTAGCGAAGCATTGGTATGTTTGCGGGCATGGTAGCATACGTACATAGTCGAGGATGCTCTTCAGTTTCTCCGGTGAGACTCTCGGTTTCAAGAGACACCAAGGAAGCAAAGCAGCGGTCTGGCGATTCTGGGCACGGGATACGAGAGTAGATGTAATCATGTATGTTCTTCAGGTTCTCTGGTGAAACTACCGGTTTTGGGAGACACCACTGCGGAAATTGGCGCGCTTTCAATCTCATCATCATGATCAGAAGCACCTACTGTGAGGATGGAAAGAAGAACAAGAGGTATGAAGTTCATCTTTGTTGGTATTTGTGATTTGTGATTGAAAAAAGAATGAAGATTGTGGTTGATTGAAGAAAGAATGAGGATTGAAGAGATCGTTTGTTATCTCTCCCACCCTCCTCCTCATCTCCATCCTCTTATACCATCTCTCTGCTTCAGTTATATTTTTCTTGTTACTTGGGCACTTTGAGGCATTTCGCTAGGTTGTATGTGTTGTATTTCCTTTCTATTCCGTTGAATAAGTTGCTTGCAACAGTGTAAAATTCAGGAAACAGTATAAATTTTAACAATTTACCAAAAAGAAAGAATTGTGATTAATTTAATAGGACGGAAAGCTATACCTTAAAGCAGAAATCTTCCCAAAAATTGATAGATTCCTAAAATTGGCAAGAAGATCATAAGATGTGGGTTTCTACCTAATCTTATCTATCTTCTGTATTCTATCTTCTATATATAAAAGATTATCTTCTCTTTTTAGGATGTGCCACACCATTTTGGAGAATGCAACAAATGATGACATGTCAGCCTCAAAAAACTAAGGTTATGGTCCGGAAGACACAGATTTTAGTGAATATGTCTCTGCATATTTTAATGGTGGGTTAACAGAAATAGTGCTGAATGGTAAGAAATGTGACTAGTATTAAATGTTCATACATATGCTTTTGGTACTCACTGACTTAATATAAGAAACTTTATTATATTTACAAGGCTCTAAATGTATACTTTAGCAACCTTATCGCAGTCAACCTTGATTCAGAGCTGACAAGAAGGTGGATAATAACTAGCAGTGGCTGTCGACTAAAGGTGCATCACTTGGCTGATACAATGCGAGTTGCTAGAAAAGTTTCACTTTATATGTGCAAAATGATGCCCAAATGCATATGGGACACAATGTAAGTGTTGTTTAGATTATGTATATTAAATTAAGTTCATTTATAATAAATTACTAGGTGATAACCGCGTCCTGCGCGGGATGATAAATTCATAGAGATTATAATTTTCAATCTTTAGATATTAAAAATGTAAAATTCATACTCACAAAAAATACATGTTATATAATGAAAGATGTAACAAAATTGTGGAGGTGTATATAAGATAAGCTTCGGCTTTTTTTTTGTTAAAATTTGTGTTAGTTAAGTGTATTTGAAGTATAGTTCGTGGAAGCATAGTTATGCATTTAAGATAAAACGAAACATATGCAATATAAATATTTCTTTCATAATATAAATTATGAATATAAGATAAAACGAAATATAGATATTAGAATAATAAATATGCAAATAATTGATATAAGGAAACAATTCAAAAAAAAAGAAAAATCCATCAATGTTAGTCACATTAGTCAATTGACCTTATCATGATAAACAAAATAATGTTAGAAATTACTAAAGGGAATGTTAGATCGAAGAATTTTTATCTAAAATTAGACTTCTTTGATTTCAAATCATAAATGACATCATGACACTCATTTTCTTTGCTAGTTTTGAAACTTGTTGGTTGTGATACTGTAAAAATTAGTTTAGTATGATATATATAGTCATAACTGATAGGGTTTAGGCTCACAAAATTTAAGTCAAACGAATATTTCATCGCGAAAATACAATCTTAAAAATCCATAATTTTCGTTTATAATTTATGCTTTTTGAAACATTGTAAATGATACAATCTCAAAAATTCATAACTTTTCGTTTATAATTTATAACTTTTCGTATTATATAAGAAATACAATATAGGAAATGACTTTAACTATGATATTTGACCATAACTTTAACTGGATCAAATATTTATGGAGACAATATTAAATAATTTTGATTTTGGAAAGTATTATATGCGAGAAATAAAATATAAGAAGTAATATTATTTAACACTAATTTCATTCCACGCAATATTATTTTACAATGTCAACATTTATGTTGATTACTTAATTAAAAAGTCAAACTTCTTAATTTAAGGAGTTGCATGAAATTTAATAATGACTTCCTTTTAAAATTCAACAAATTATACATGTTTATACAATATTTTATTAACCAAAACCCAATTAACGTTAATATTATATATATGTTTAGACATAATTTTATACAATGTAACATATCAAAGTATCGTAGAGGGATGACCTGTTTATATTTTGAAAACTAAATATAATTATAAATTTTTGTCTATTCGTAAGATTAATTATAGAAAAGTGACGATAGTGAATATATTCCCTAGTTAATGTGTTGCTAACAATGCGCGGTGATATATTCTTTGATCGAACACCATTCAAAATAAATTAATGTGACCATAAATCTGGCGATATTCATATAGAAACACATTTTAGGGAAGCTTTTAAGTTTTCTCTTGGCCAAGCAAAATCCGTATTATTAGCAAATTACCAAAATTATGGCATACACAAAAAATCTTTCATACAATACAAATAATGTTACATACAATGGTTTATTTCACCATTGAAATTTATTAGACCATGTATAACTATAAGTACGATATCAAAACATGATCAGACAAAAATATATTTTAACTCTAGAATAATCCACAATCATTATATGGGAAAAAGCAAAAAAAAAACAGGTTTATCTACATGAGAATTTATAGTTACATACAAAATATCATTAATAGAGAAATAATATAATTTTAAGCCATATAATAAACCTCTTACATCAAAATACTATGATCCCGCTCAATAAGCCATAATGACTCAAACATCAACAAAGAAATAAAATTTGATCTCTCTATGAGAATAATATTGGTACAAAAAATAAAATTTGTTAGATTCCTAAAACATGATCATACAAAAAGTACAACCCGGCTCAATAATCTATAATGTTTAAAATCATATAATAGAACAAAATATATTTGGAAAGTGGTTGGAATATTTCGAATATTATTCATATTTATAATTAAATGTTCAATACATAATCAGTTACATTCAATTATTTAAATAATAATCACATAATATATATATCCAATGGTATAATATTGTAAATACTCTAGTAATTTAAGTCAATTTCTATAAAAGAGCTAAGAATGTTTGTGAGGCTCATGCCACCTAAATAATGTTAATTTTTTTTAAATGTTTCTCTTTTAATATATAAGAGATATATGAAATTATTAAAAAATGACAAATAAGAAAAATTACCTAAAAACATGAAAAATTTGACAAATCAGCATTGCTAGACTTATATTGAATTATCATTTTTATATCTTAATTTTTAATTTCTATAATAGAAATAGTTTTCAAGATAAAAATATAATACATAAGAATTATTTTATTTTTTAAGAGTATAATATTATTACTATATATTTGTTTATTATATAATAAATACATATGAAATTATTGAAAACATGAAAAAGCAAAATTACCTTAAAATCACAGATAAGTTACAAATCAATCAATAAATTCACTTAAATTTAATAATAGAAAAATATATTTTCAAGATAGCAATCTAATATAATAGAAGAGAATCAATTTATTTTCTAAAAAGATAATATTATTAATATAATTCATTTTTACTATATAAGAAATTATTAAAATATGACAAATAAGTAAAATTTCCTAAAATCATGGATAAGTTGACAAATAAAGAAATTTACTTCTCAAATAATAATATAGATTTCCTTTTTTACTTTAGTTATCTATTATTAAATCTGGGGAAATATTCAACTTTGCCACTTTGAAAATCTGTAATTGAAAATTTTTAATTGGCAGGTGTTTATTTAAGCGCGGGTTCGTTTCCTATATAAAGCAAACTACCAACGATTTTAATTCTTACCTAAAAAAAAAAGCCGTCAATATTCTGAAACCTCATTAGGGTTTTATCTCCAGCGCGCATATCGAACTTACATACCATGACTCATGAGATTCCGCCACCCACAGAAGATCAACTCGCCGATGTATCCTCCTCTTCAACGGTTCTGTGTCGACCCGACAACGAAGCTGAACTTACCGACCAGAAGGTCCACAGCCACGGGTGGGTTAGAACCGAAACGACAGAGCAAGGCAAAGAAACTTTCTCTATCCATCATGTGGTGAACGATGCTATGGTGGAAGCTTCTGAATCACATCTCTCAGTGACTATCGATGATAGATGTCTGAAGATTCCCCTACAAGGTAAAGGCACCAAGTACAAGATTAACCTTACTCTCGAGAAGGTCACTGATGACGAAGAGATTCCGACAGTACAGAGATCACGGTTCTCAAGTCACGTGCCTATAAAATCCATTCTTTCTCGACCAGACGGAGGAGCAGGACTCGCCGGGCAGAAAGTCCGGATATTCGGGTGGGTTAGAACCGGAAGGTTACAAGGGAAAGGTAGTTTCGCTTTTCTAGAGGTGAATGATGGATCATGCGCGGCGTATCTTCAGGTTATGGTGGACGCTTCTTTATCAGAGGATCTCTCCAAGTTGATTGCTAAAGGAACTTGTGTAGTTGTTGATGGATGTTTGAAACTTCCTCCGCAAGGCACTAAGCAGAAGATTGAGCTTAGGGTTGGGGAGGTGGTTGATGTGGGAAGAGTGGATCAGGTTACGTACCCGTTTCCTAAGAACAAACCGTCACTTGAGCATTTGAGAAAGTATCCTCACCTTCGTGCAAGAACCAACTCGGTAATTAAAAAAACAAAAACAAAAAAACACTTATTATCTTCTTAGGTTTAGCTCATTGTTGTTGTATTTGTTTTCAGATTGCTTCAGTCGCAAGAATCAGAAACGCGCTAGCTTTTGCAACACATTCTTTCTTTCAGTCACAGAGTTTTCTATACGTTCAGACTCCGATTATTACAACAAGTGATTGCGAAGGAGCTGGTGAGATGTTCCAAGTGACGACATTGATTAGTGCAGCTGAGAAGTTGGAGAGGGATCTTGTTCAGAACCCTCCACCTACAGAAGCTGACGTTGAAGCTGCGAGGGTTGTTGTCAAGGAGAGAGGTGAAGCTGTGGCACAACTCAAAGCTTGTAAAGCAAGCGAGGAAGAGATCGCTTCTTCTCTTGATGAGCTAACTAATGCAAAGCTGAGTTTAGCTAGGAGTGAAGAGAGGTCAAGGCTCAAGCCTGGCTTACCTAGAAAAGATGGAGAAGTTGATTATTCTCAAGACTTTTTTGGTCGTCAAGCTTTCTTGTCTGTTTCTGGTCAATTACAACTTGAGAGCTACGCTTGTGCTCTTGGCAGTGTCTACACATTTGGTCCCACTTTTAGAGCAGAGAACTCTCATACCTCAAGGCATCTTGCTGAGTTCTGGATGGTTGAGCCTGAGTTAGCTTTAGCAGACCTAGAGGTAACTTTTGATCCATTTTTCTTCTAGCGCAAGTATCCTTAATTAGAAACTGTTTTTTTTTGTGTAGGAGGATATGGACTGTGCAGAAGCATATGTGAGATACATGTGCACGTGGCTGCTTGATAACTGCTACGATGACTTGGAAGTTATGGCGAACAACGTCGACGATGGATGTATTGAGAGGCTAAAACTGGTTGCATCAACTCCGTTTGTGCGTATAACATACACTGACGCAATAGAGCTGCTTAAGGAAGCCATGGCACAAAGACACAAGTTCGAGAACCAAGTGAAGTGGGGAATAGACTTGGCGTCTGAGCATGAAAGGTTTTTGTTTTTCAATTATACATAAATGCTTGTAAGAAAAAAAAAGGTTACTAATGTTGTGTGTGTTTTTATCTTGTAATTTCGCAGATACTTGACAGAGGTTGTGTTTCAAAAGCCTGTTATTGTTTATAACTACCCTAAAGGAATCAAAGCTTTCTACATGAGAGTTAACGATGATGGAAAGACAGTTGCTGCCATGGATGTTCTTGTTCCAAAGGTAAACTAATCTCATCATCATCATCTTACCATGACAGTCTCCTTTATGTGCGATTCATGGAATAAACACACACATTCTTTATGTTAATTAGGTTGGAGAACTCATTGGTGGGAGCCAAAGAGAAGAACGGTATGATGTTCTCATGAACAGGCTCGAGGAAATTGGTCTACCAGTAGAGCCATACGAGTGGTACTTGGACTTGAGACGTCATGGAACAGTGAAGCATTCAGGATTCGGACTTGGATTCGAGCGTATGGTTCTGTTTGCGACAGGAATGGACAACATCAGAGACGTTATTCCTTTCCCTCGCTATCCTGGAAGAGCTGATCTTTGATTCCTTTTCAAGCACAATTCTATTTTTATAAATGATCTTTCCTTTTGTTTTTTTGTTATCATACAAGGATGCTTGACTTACAAGTCACCAATGGTGTATATATATTATTTATGTAGACGTTTCTTCACTGGCAAGGACCAGGGCCGAGGATATTCATCTCAAATAATGAACTTGTCAAGTTTGGTTTCTTATTTAAACCAAAGACAAGACCTGAGAACTTGCTGGTAATAAGATCACATCAGAAGTAGTAACTAGTCCCATAAAACAATATGAACATGAAGATATTAGATTACCTTTTAAGGGAAGTATCATATTATAAATCAAGCTCAAGAATCTACAGCTTCTGAACTCAAAAGATGCAAACAATTTTCATCCTAATTCCATTAGGAAGCTGAATTCTCTGCCTCCTGGCCAACGTTTGAATCCGTGGTGTTCAGAAAGTTGATCCATTGAATCCAAAGAAGGGTCGCTGCAAACAAACAAACAAACAAACAAAAGATTTCAAGATTTATGGATTCAAGTTAATAAGATATCTTTTGAACAATGTGCTTTGATCAACTTACTGGGGAATCGTAGAATTTGATGTAAAAGCGAGAGCTATCAATAGAGAGCTTAACTTGGAGAATCTCAGCTATGGTCTCGCTAAGCTTCCCATTCACCCCTGCTCCTAATCCTCCAATAGATATCAATTCTCCATATGCAGCAGGTTCCTCGGTACCAGCAAATGCAATAGGCACTCCGCTGTTAAGCAGTATCATCACATACTGAAACAAACCAAGAAGAAGAAGAAGAGCAGACATTATAAAAAAAAAAAAAATCAACATGCGAAAACGTGGATCACAAGTTAAAGACCACAGCACAAGAATCCGAAAACTTGCTATTCACAGAGGAATTTCATCGAACAGTTTGTGTGCATATACCAGCAGAGGCATACCCACTAATAAAAATCTCTTTCTACTTTGCTTTCGTATAATCAAAACCCTAGAAAGAAACAAAACACACGAGACATTGAATGTATTAACGGCGGGAGTAGAGATAAGTTACGGATTCAGGTTTGCCGATGATCTTAGCAACGGCCTTAGTAGCGTCCTTGAGGATGTCCGAGCATGTGACGGCGTCGACTGGTATGTTCGTGAAGAGATTCAAAGTGGGCATCTTTTTCAGACAAAACAGAGCTGCAAAAAACCAGTGGCTTTTAGACAGTGGAAGTTGTGATGATAACTAACGTTGTAAAGAAACAAACGTAAAGGATAACGAGTACCTACCATCCTTTTTTTATTTTGTTTTTGTTTTAATCGAATCGAATGTAAAATCAACCAATCAGAAATTAGTTTAAATGGGCTACAAGTCAGCCCACTAATACATTAACCCAAATGCAAATTGCAGCCCAAATGTAAAATTTCATATTATACAGTTAACAATCATTACAAAATGACTTTTTTTTAAACTCTTCTTACTTCTCTTACAGTTTGGAGGGGACCAATAGAATTGTCTTTCTTCGTTTCATTTTATTTTAAATCAGCATGGGGAATCATGCAAACGCATAACTCTTTCACTTTTTGCATTTTCATGCTTATGATAAGCCTTTTTGTTTTTTTTTAGGATCCAAAGAAAGAGTAACGGACCTATGAATACTACCATATATAATTTCTAGGACAATTGAAATCGTTTTTGCATTGAGTAAATAAAACCGAACATTGCAACATCACCTAGTGTTTTAACCTACAAAAAGAAAGTTGAATTCAAAATATGTAAGCCCTTTTTTAAGTACATTTGTGTACACTAAGATGATATTGGTTTCGTAGTTTATTTATTGAAACATTAAAAATAATTCTCGGGTCCTTAGGCTATTTCAGCCTAACATTTATCTTTTGAAATGTCTCTAATTATCTTGTTCGTTAGTTCTCTTGTTGTTTCTTTTCCTTGTTTGGATTCCAAAAGGTAAAGTTTACAAAGTTTTATCATAAGTATGGAAGGCAAAAGATGAAAGAGTTATGCCATTGCATTATTTACCCATGCTGGTTCAAAACAAAACGATTCAAAAGTTAGGCCAAGCATATTTGTAATGGTCCCCCTACGACATGTTAGGGAAGATACTCTTCACTTGTTGTTTGTAACTATTTGGTTTACTCTTGAGCCATGACTCAATTGATGAACATAGCTAATTAAGTTCACATTTCTTACACAATTTATTTTTGATAACCGTGAGGATCCCAAAGGCTTTCTAAAGCCAAAGACTAATCCCACGAGACCCATAAAAATTCGGGCTTTCTTACCACTTAAAGTGTCTAGGAATGGCTAATGCTACTCGAACCCAGGACGGAAACTCCAGCTGTAACTTCTTTACCACTAGACCAAAACAACTTGGTTATTTATTACACATCTCACTTGGATTTTTCTTCTTTTCTTGGTCAAGTACTTGGATTTTCCTTAGCTTTAACTTGGTTTTTTATTTACAAAATTCTCACCATAATTACTATTGATTCCATGCTTATATAATTTAACAAATTTCTAGCATGTCCATGTTCATATGATCTTAACTCGCAATGTTACAAAGCTTTGTTACTGGAAATTTAATACATGTTTTGAGATTACCCTCTCTCAGTCAACAATATCTCTATTTCAAAATCAGAATACCACGAGAATAACGAACATACACCTGAGAGATATTAAAGCTAGTATGTCCCGTGAGATATTTCCAGCTTATGATATCCAAATGAATTTATTAGTTTTTCTAAGATTGGATATGTTTCCTTTACAACGAATATTTATTTTCAACTTTTCCTTATATCATGTAGTTTATACTCATGTTACTAAGTTAGCGTATCTGTAAGAACATTTTTTTAAGACCTATTAATTGTAAACAAGTTTCAAAAGTTTGTTTTAGTGAAAGTGTGAACAGATCAAAGTCAATTTTCTTACAATCGTCGTTAATCACGTTATCTAACATCATAAATCCTTTGAATTTAAGTTCACGTAAATGATAAATCACAACTCAAATACGTCTCATCTTACTTTTTACGAACATGGGAGTCACATAGCGCTCTCTTTAAAATTAAGTAATCAAGATAGTAAACTTAGCTATAAAAAGTTAACGAAGCAAAATAGATTGAACAGCTAGTCTCTCTCTAAATTTCCTAAAAATGATTCGGCTTGAATCCGGATATAAACAATTTACTTCAACCACCCTTGCTGTAAGAATTGGAGCTATCAAAAGTTTTTTCTACACAAAGTTTTTATGGAGTAAAAAATGGAAGAGAGGTCACATGGTGTCATAAGAAAAGAGTGTAACATAAAAACAAAACTTACTTTGGAGTAGTGCCATAATAAGGTTTATCCTGTTTTTTCTTGAGGTTCAAATTCCCTCCAGCAAATTTCTTTAGATAAGAATTTTTTTATTTTTTTTGCTAAAATTTGGTGTAGATAAGAATTTTTTTCTACATTAGTTTCAACTCTCTTAAAGATATTTTATCATCAGACAAATTTTTCTAGAACATTTTTAGTTCGCTTTGTAAGTTTATATTTCTGGTCAAAAAATTTTGAGTTGCTGAAATGAAAAACTGTTAACTTAATTTAAGATTTATGATTTTTTTTGGTTTCTTCTTTGATTTTTCTGGACAATTGTTTTTTTCTGTTATATCTTTCAAATACTATATAGTCATCAAAAATAGACCATATATTATCTAATCCATAATGTTATAGTTAAAGATTCTAGTTTCATTTTTGTTTACACTCGGAAATTTATATTTGACAAGGGATATAGATTTATAATTACCATTGGGAAGAAATGGATGCTGAAGGAAAAGTGTAGTCATTATGTTCGAATACAGTTTTACGATTAGATCATATACGGATAACTAGTGGATATCATATCTGTCTGACTGTTTTTACATATAATGGATGTGTATTGGAGGACTCATATGTATTTCCTAACATGATGTAAAAATATATTTTAAATTTTAAATCTAAAAGTAGAAAAAATCTAATATCTAATCAGAAGTCATTGAACGTAATGAGGTAAACGTAGGCTTAGCTTTTGCCACAAACTACTTCAAATGATACCAAAAAGGTTCCAATCATTTTTCATCTCACATACACAATCCACTAGCTCACCACTTTCTCCCTCCACACTTTGGGAATAATATAATTTAATGGAAAATAATTACTATTATAGTACTACTATAATATAAGTATATGACAAATTTCTTTTGACTAAAGTATATGACAATAGTTATATTAATCACAGCGCTATATAACACAAGTCAAATATTTTAATGAGTAATGTCAGCGAATATTATATTGTCCGTTATATTCTGTTACTATATGCAAATTTAAGCTAAAATTTACTGAATTCAAAATGATTCAACCGAAGAAAATAATTAAGAATATAGCATGTTTCCCAAAACAGACTGTCTATATAGTAGTAATCTGGGTGCTTTATGCTAGATTAGTAAATTCGAAAACCTTAAACCAAGAATGATTACAAATTAGTATAGTCGGTTCTTATGAACACACGTGAAAACGTTCCGACCAGGCGACCATAATCAGTTATCGGACAAGCCGCCACGTCACCAAAGAATCTAGCACAGCCAATGATGTTAGGCCATGTTGATGGATAAGGTGCCCTTTACTCGATCTCTTTAAGATCCCAAAAAGATTTGCAGGTTGGGATGATATGATGATGATGGGGGTTTTGCAATTATTTTTGAAAGTAATTTAAAAGCAGAATCATATTTCCTCCACAAAACGAGTGATAATTCTATAGGCTTTGAAGCGCCTAGAGAATTACTATTCATACATAAATCAATACAGATATACACATTTTTAGGGGTGGACACAGATAGAATATCTGGGGTTTTTCAAGGTATTTGTGATTTGTTTCGAATATTACGGATATTTAATTTTGGTATTTGATTTGCTTCGAAAAATACGGATATCCAGAAAAATGAATATCCAGAAAATAAATAGATATTTGCGCATATTTACGAATATTTACGGATATCTCATCCAGTTTGATTAATACAAATAATCTTAAAATTTTGATACAGACTTTCTTTGCAAAAATATGTTTTTGCATGATATATAAAATAAAAACTAGGATAAGACCCGCGCCTTGCGCGGGACGAAGCTATTATTTTTATTATGTTTTTAAAAATGAAACAATAGTTCGGTTTCATTCGGATTAGAGGTGTTCAATCCGGATATCGGGTTTCGGTTTGGCTCGATTTTTTGTTATTTCGATCATTAAAATATAACTACTATCCTAAATCTATATGTACTTCAGTTTGATTTGGTTTATATACCATCGGTTTTCAGTTTATTCAATTTTATACCAAAAAACATAATTATTTAGTTTGAGATCATGTTATATATTATACAAATATATAATATGATCATATTTAGAGTCATATTGTCACAGACTCATTTCTTAAAAATATATTATATATTTAAATAAAATAATAAAAAACAAAAAAAGGCTTCATCTAATAAAATGATCAAATATAGAATTAATATCAAAAACTAAATTTTGAAAATAAAAATAAAAAACAAAACAGAAGCATGAAAGAAATTTTTTTATATTCTTCCATATTTAGTGTTCATCAAACCAATATGTCTTTGATTGAACACAACTATGTTTGTTTAAAGATAAAAAAAAAGTTGTAAAGAATTTCAACTAATTGTTGTCCATCAAATTTATAATTTTTACTTCGATTTAGTTACTGTTAAAAAAT